CTGCATCAAGCCTCGATGTCGAGGGACCTCGTTATGATAACCGAGAGCTGATTGAGTGAAGCGATCACTGATGCAGAAATCGCACTACCTGGGATGTCTATTCTACGCAATGATCGACCAAGTAGACGAGGTGGAGTACTAATATATTTTCGCAGCGAACTACACATTGATCTCATTGATGACCCAGAGGTTCAGATTGTCGATGCGCTTTGGTGTCGTCTTCATCTAAGCCGTTGGGACGCATGTTTGTTGGGTGCGTTGTTAACCATCCGACGGCCACTTTGGAAATGGAAAATCGCCTAGCCTCCACTATGAAGACCATTCTCTCACAGTCGTACAGCCACATTCTCCTGGTTGGTGATTTCACTATTCATACCACAGAAATTCCAGTCTATATCGACGAACACTTCAAAATGGAAGTACAGGAGATAATTGTTGGACTACCACTCTACAATCACATCACATCTCCCACAAGATTCAGGACGGGGAGACAAACCGGGTGTTCTTAATCACGTATTCATCAATAACGAGCTTATGATCGAAACGATATCGATAGAGAGTCATTTAGGCCGTAGCGACCATGCAACCCTCATGTTCACTTACATCTGTCATACAGAGTATTCTTCAGAAAACACCGAGGAGTGTCAACTCATTACGGGTTACGACGCTCTAATCAAAGTTATAAATGCCACAAACTGAACATTTCTAGCAGAACGATCCCCCGATATCCCCTGGTCTGAATTTGCTCACCAGTCCAACAAGTTAGCAACTAGTGCTTCTTGGAAAAGACCTTCGCGAGCGAAGACAGTAAAATCATTCATACGCAGCAGGACACGCAGGTGTATCGTTACGAGGAATTCACTCTGGCGAAGATACAAACAGTCATCGAGTGCCGGAATATGGGAAACCTACACTATCCAAAGGAATCACTGCGTAAACGTCGTACGCGAAGATAAAATACGGCACCAACAGAATCTAGCTGAGAAATTCCTTTCTAACCCCAAGCTCATGTACAGACACATAAAAAATTTCCGCAAAGTGCAGCGAGGAATTCCTGTCTTACACACGTTATGTGGACTCACACAAACCGCAACTGAGGCGTCCAGCGCCCTAGGGCAACAATCAGCCCCGAACTTCCAGAGCACGACATCGCCGTATGCACTGTTCCGGATTGTTGTACCACCGCTAGGACTTAGCCACATTGTGTTTACGACTGCAGACGTTATGAAAAGGCTAATTGCCCTATGTGAGCATAACACACCCGGTGTTGATAATATTCGTCCGAAAGCGTTAAAAGTGGCTGCAGCAAACTTGGTTGGCCCACTCTGCAAGTACTTCCAACGATGCCTCGATGAGATGCGGGTGCCAACAGTGTGGAAGCAGGGCATCGTCACTCCCATCCATAAGTGAGGAAGTCGTACAGATCCGGCCAACTACTTCCGATACGCACTAACATCATGGAAACGATTGTCGCCGAAGCGCTGATGAACTTCTTGGAGGAACACTATATCATAGCACAAGAACAACATAGAATTCGCAAGAACAGATCTTCCACTTACTATTTGCTAGATCCAGTTGGACTGAGACCGTTGACAGCGGCGTAGGTGTTGACGCAGTTTATCTGGACTTATCAAAGGCCTTCGACCGTCAGAACCACTCTATCCTCCTTCACAAGCCTCAGTGTTGTGGTATTGGTGACCCAATCCTCGGTTGGATATGTAACTTCTTGCTTCAACGACATCTGAATGTAAGAGTTCGCGGCGTCATCTCTGATCCAATCGACGTTAAGTGCGGAGTGCCCCAGAGCTCAGTACTTGGTCCACGACTATTCCTGGTCTACGTAAACGATCTTGTGAGAGAAATCAACTCCAACTCCTTACTCTTCGCTGATAATCTCAGGATATAGCGAGCCATTAGAATAACCAGAGACAATGCAGCACTTCAGGATGATCTTGACAGGGTCTACGAATGGTAAACTCAGAAGCTGCTTCAATTCAACGCTACAAAGTGCAAGATGTTGAGCATACGCCAAATAACTACTTGCGAATACAGACTGGAGGATCAAATATTGCAGCCCACTTCATCGGAATGCGATCTAGGCGTGGTAATGCAGGAAGATCTGGGCTGTTCCCGTCAGGCCGAGAAAGCCTCCAAAAATGCTAACCAACACCTTGACATTTGCGGAGGGCATTCGGGCGCTTCGATCCTTCCGTCTTTTTGCAGATGGTCAACGCCTACATTTGCACTCATTCTGAGTACGCCATCCACGCCTAGCAGCCATGGCAAAAGCAAGACAGTACCGCTCTTGAGCTGTCACAACGAAGGGCGACCAAGAACGTAAAGGGCTTGTTTCATCTCCCTTACCGATTGAAGCTGAAAACCCTCGGGTTTTACAGTGGACAATATCGACGCCTGCGTGGCAAATCGATAACGACTTATATGATCCTGAGGAATCCAAACCATTCTTGTCGTCACCTAATAAAGCTGAATAGCAATACCACACTCAGAGGACACCATTTAAAGCTGGACACACAACACAGCCGGTTGGAATGCCGCCGGAATTTGTTTTCCCTTCGTGTGTGTCAACAATGGAACTCTCTTCGCACATACGTTGTTTCTTCCCCCACGCTAACGGTATTCAAAAAACGTCTGGATGATGCGCTTATCCACTTACCTTACGCTATATAATCAGAGATGTCTACGTCAACCAAACGCGAACAAACGGTGTTCATTCTCAGCTTTCGTGCTTCACTACTTACACGCTGCTGTTGTGGAATATAGAATCGGATATATTACAACTGCATTCCTCAATTACCTCAGTACAAGAAAGCGGTGCACGAGCAAGCGTTTTCTTTTCTTTTGTTCTTAAGACATACCGTGCCCATATTACTTCCCATATTACTCTACAGCAACACTTCAGTACACATTCTAAGGGGTGCCTGAATAGCTAGACGCTTCAATTGACGATTTACACTTGTGTTTATTTTCAATCTGACCATCCTACGGGGCTTGTAAAGCAATCGCTTTTTTTACCTGTAGTATATCATTGTTCATCGTTTTTCATTTATCCCTAACCTAGCCATGATCGCATAGTAGGATGACTGTGAGTGACACCAGCTGTGGACGAAATCTGTTTCACTGCACTCAGTGGACAACATAAGCAGGCAGCCACCGAGAATGACACACGGAACGGTCCAAAGCTTGAAGGCTGCAACTGTCTAAACCAGGCTTAACTGTCTTCCCAAGTGGGCCAACATGGTATACAACGTGTCCACCAACGCAAGTGATGTGGCATAGGTGCGATGTCACTGTGTCGAGGGTTTGAGAACCAGACACTCCAGGTCATCGCGTAAACTCAGCAAGAATGGTGAAGGCTTGTCTGGGATTGTATGCGTGCTACTGAGTGCGTGTTCATCCCCAATACGTGCACCTGACTCAGGAGACTCCGCTGTGCAACTACTGTGTGTGTGAGTTCGGCGCATATTTGACTTCTACTTTTTGTACTCTGGTTGCATCTGAATTCCTCCATAAATGATCTTGCCTATAGTTCTTGGTCTTCTACTGTTTACGAATGCTCGTTACCTACACGCTGTTAGTGCGATACACTAAGAATACTGCATAAAGCTAATGGTAGGGATAGGTAGCCAGTGGGTGATCAAAACGTTATGCCCTTAAACATCATGTCAACTAACGCATTGAGCAAGGCCTATTGTTGCGTTAGGTCCAACTGGACATATCGTATAAATGACTGGGAAATATTTCTCTCTATCCTGGCCGAGTTGGTGGCGGGTATCGGTCGTCAGGATGACTGTTGAAGGTGTGTCGGTCTTGGTCATAGTGGACACTGAAGCGTAAGTGTCCATTACGAAAAGGTTCGAAGAAGTTCCAGTAACTCAGTCCTCGCTAGTGATGCAGACCGTCGATGGACATCGTTCGACCGTGACGGGCACGCAGCGGTTGCGAATTAGAATAGAAACGCTCATCAGACATGCTATGTTCATCGTGGATGAGACCACCGAAACAATCATCGGCAACGACATCCTCAAACAGTTCGGTGCCACAATTGATCTGCGAAACAATTTGATAATCGTAGGCAACGGGACGATTGAGATGAACACTGGGAGAGCCAATCGAGTAGGTGTCGGCAAGGTCCTGTCTGACTGCCAGTACCCTGAAATACAAAGTGTACTGAGCAAGTATCCCCACCTATTCACGGATTCTGCGACTGGGTGGAACATCGAATACCATTAATCCCTGGGGGCAGTGCAAGCCGATCTTCAGAAGAATACCGCAGAATACGCTGCCTGACACTAAAACAGGTAGTAGCCATGGAAGCAAAAGGAATCATCAGGCGAACACACAGTCCGTATTCATTACCCGTGCTACTGACGAAAAAGGCCAACGGTACCTATCGATTTTGTATTGATTTCAGATAACTGAACTGAGCGACAGTGAAGGATGCATTTTCGATGCCCCAGATGGAAGAAATTTTCACCAGTCTTCACAGCGCCAAGCGGATTTCCTTGCTAGAGCTCTGATCGGGATATTGGCAGCTGCCCATCGCAGAGGAACATCGCCACAAGACGGCTTTCAGTGTGAATTGCCAGCAGTACGAGTGTCTAAGAACGCCGTTTGGATTATGTAATGCCCCAGCTACATTCAGACGCCTATTGCTGGTGGCGGCGAAACTACAGGGTGTAGTTGTCTACGGGGATGATATCATTATCTTCCCGGAGACACAACACGAACATGGTATCAGGCCCGCAACAGTACTACAAAGACTGTAAGAAGCTGGTCTGAAACTCAGTCTCAAGAAGTCATAGATTTCTCTGGAGTCTATTGTATGTCTAGGCCACATTGTGGCCAGTGGTCAAGTCCATTCACTTCCGAAGAAACGCGGAGTGATCAAAAGTTTTGCAGTGCCAAAATCCAAGCGTCGGCTCCGTTCGTTCCTGGGAGTGGTGGTTTTTGCCTCGAAGTTGGTGCCCCATCTTGCAGAGATGATCAGCTCGTTGTTAAAGCTGTTTCACAAAGACAAACCATCCGAGTGGACAGCCGAAAGGGATCAAGCCTTCAACCACCTAAATGCATGCGTAGCCGAAGCCCCAACATGCCTACGACTGCCCAATCCAGATGAGAGATTCACTGTGCTAGTCGACGCAACTAACGTGGAAATCGGTGCGGTATTGTCCCAACCGGGTGGGGTGATGGAATATGCTAGTAGTGTACTGACAGTGGTGGAGCAGAATTATTTCACGACAGAGAAAGTATGTCTGGCCATTGTGCGGGCCTTGGAGAAATGGAGAACTTACCTCCTAGTGACTGAATTCCAGGTCGTCACTGACCACAAGCCGCTTTCATGGTTGATGACAGAAAAAGACCCACGGGGACGCCTTGCCTGACGGGCATACCGACTGTAAGCTTAACTTAACCATCGAGCACGTAGACGGAACGCAGAACATACTACCCGATATGGTGTCAGGCCCGTCCTTAGACGACCTCAAGCCGGACGACGAGATTCCGGTGCGTGCGCTCACAGTGGAGGAGAAGAACCTGCTGGGAGATCAAAAGACAGATAAATTCCTGAAGTTAACGTGCTCTCACTTACAGACTGGCACTAAGCCAGTGGCCATATCAAGAGAGATGGATGAACTCCTTAGGATCTAAGAGAGACTGGTGGTCGAAAACGATAATGTGGTGATTGCAACGGACGGAAGGAAACTACATTTTGTACCACCGAATCTGCGAGAGATGGTGATGCAAATAGCTCATGATAGCGCCCATATGGGATTCGAAAGAATCTTTGAATTGCTACGGAGGAGAGTGTTTTGGTCTACCATGAGGAAGAACGTCGCAGCATACATCCTGGGATTCCCAAATTACCAAAGGAGTCGCTAGATGGATGTAACGAATCTACCTGTGCCATCGACGGAAGTCAACGAGCCATTTCAGCGTTGGGGGCTGGATGTCTTTGGGCCCTTACCAGTGAGTCGATCAGGAAACAGATACGTTCTAGTGATGATGGACCACTTCAGCCGCTGAGTGGAAGCCATACCAACCAAGGATCAGACAGGCGAGACCGTGTCGCAGACATGCAAAGTCAATGTGCCAGCAAAGTATGGAATGCCACAATGATTCCTCACCGACCAAGGGTCCTGCCTCGAGTCGAAAGCATTTAAGGCGATTTTGGACAAGTGGGCATCTAGATGCGACGAACTTCACCGTACCACCCGCAGGCTAACGAAATGAGACAGCGGTTCAACCGAATCATGAAGACGTGTATAAACTGCACGAAGTCGACATGAGAAGAAGAATTGCCTGAAGTTCTGCAGTCGACCACCAAGGTTTCGCCATCCGAATTACAATTTGGCCGAGAATCACGGATTGCGCCCGATACGTGCTTAGTGAACCTGAGTGAGGGGAACATCCGGCACTGCATTACAAACGATGGAAATCGATTTCTAGAAAAGGAACCAAAGCCCGACAAGGACGCAATAAGAGGAATTACGACGCCACTCATGAGACTCACAAGTGAACGCCGTTCAGGATTGGTGAACAAGTCAAGGTACGGAAGAACGATCGGTTTGATAATGAAGGGCCAGGTGCGAGCAATTTTCAGGGAAAGCTGGAATGGCCCCTACATCGTACTCGATCGGAAAGGAAGAAACTTCCAAATCGACAGGAGATGAACAAAGCGCTTTGTGAACGCCGCCCTTCTGCGACCATAATAGGAGAGGGAAGAACAACTTCGAGAAGTGACGGGTGTAGGGCGGCGGAAGCCAGTGACTACTGGTGAACCGGGAGGAAATTAAAACAGGATTGTAGAGAATTAACAACGTAAGAAATGAATGAGATGACACAACGCTCTGCGAGGGTTGCGGATCGAGCAGACAGCGGATCACGGGCAGCACCTGGTAACGAACATGGGCCCAGAACATTGGAGGAGGTATTTGTCAAGAACGCAATAAATCAGACATATGCGCCGCTAGCAAAGCCCACAGGAGTGAACGCGGGTCAAGTGATACAGCCAAGGGAGAGCAAATCGCGAAGTTTCAAACGACTCATGGCTGGCTAGAATCGGATTTAGCGAAGCGGAGATACGAGATGGCTAGATGCAAGGGTTGTTTCGAAGTCCAACCTCGTAAGTACCTGGAATGGACCGTCACATAAATCCTCATCCGCGTTGCGTCGTGAGAAGGAAACACCGTCCAAATCTGTACGGGTTTGTGAGTTGTCAGTGGCACGTTCTTGTGGCGATAACGCTCTGCCCCCCGCCCCCGCGTCCTTTTCGGCACAATTGGAATGCGCCACCTTCCACACGAGCACAGGCTACAACGTTTGGGAGTATTCAGCGGACGGCATCGCAGACTACGAGGCGACTTGTTAATGGTGCACTCAATTTTGCACAATCCAAATCATATGTGCCGATCTTTGTTTAGCAGTAACACCAAACTTAGAGGCCACTCTCTGAAATTAGCATAGCAGTACAGCCATCTGGAGTGTCGCAGAAATTACTTTTCTATTCACCTGTGTCAACCACAGAACCCTCTCTACGAATCGGTTGTTTTTGCATGTATTTCAACCATATTTAAAAGTCGGTTGGGCAACGCACCGCACCACTTACATTTTGGTACTTGATACCATTCTCCGAATTACTCCCGGGAAATATCTTGAATTCATATTTTCGCCTAATAAAGCTATGGAAACACTCGGATTGCAGCGCTACTGCATTACATAGGATAAGTCCTTTCTTTTGGCACAAGAACTACTGACGGCATTATTTTTCGATAACCCACCAGACTACCCAACGATGCTAGTAAAGCAAGGCTTCTTAACCCGTTTAAAATCAGTGTTTATTGTTCACTGACATGCAGATGGGACGAAGCAAGTGCTACCCGAGATGCTGTCGCGGCATCATAACGGACACGCTGATACCCGTTTGTGCACAAAGGAGGGACTTGTGAGGTCGATGTGTAACCATTTACAAATGGATACCAAGCCGGATACATTGTCGATAGAGGCAGAGGAACTCCTCAGGGTTTGGGACAGGTGGTACATAGTTACGGGCACTTTGCTGGTGGAAACAAGTGGAATGAAACCAAGTGGAAGAAGGTACGCTATCGAGAGTTGTCTTTGACGCGTAACACTGACGCGGAGTACTTTTTGTTCAGATTACGAAAGAGTTTTGGCGTTAAACAGGGTGTAAAAACGGATTCCTTGGTATAACCACCAATTACGAAGGTTCCGTTTGGGCCTGGATCATAACCAGCATATTTTGCGACCTAAGTGAGCTGTGCATATGAAATTGGCACCAGGTCGAAATTATCGCACATTACAACGTCTGGCAAACCACTGGATACCAACAATGGTATAGACCTATTCACAGTCGGTCGCAACGTTACCTCGAGTGGTAAGAGCGACATCACGTATGGCAGGTTCGAGGCACGGACGAGAAGTCCCGGCTACAAACCAACGGTACGTGAGAATCAGCGACCGAGTAACTAACACAGTAACTCGTACGAAACGATAGTCATGCAAGACGACGATGTTCCAATGAGCCGAATACGAGAACGAGCGAGCGGGACCGAAACAGATATATTCAACAGCGCGGTATGCGAACAGCGTGATACACGGCAAGCAAGCATATCAACAACGAGTTTACAAGAAAGTGGTAATGAGGCTTGGATTTTGAATTCCCCCATTCATTGTGCATTCGGTCCGCCAAGCCCTGTAAAACAAGCAGAGGAGACATTAGTAACGGCCGTCAATGTAAACAATTCATTTCGGTTTTAACTTTACTGCTAGCTGTACATATGAAATTGACGCCATGTCGAAATTATCTCACACTACAACGTCTGATAAACCACTGAATACCAGCAATGGTATAGACCTATTCACAGACGGTCGCAACGTTCCCACGAGAGGTATGAGCGACATCCCGTCCTTTGCATTTACCACGGTCATTTCCTCGGAGCTTCCTCAGCCTATGGTGTAGAAATGGAGTGCAATATGCGAATTCAACAATAGAAAACTGGGTTGTCTAGCGTAGTTCTGAAGTACAGTGAAGAATTGGCCTATCAGTTGTGAAAGGCACCCATGTAGTGGAGGGAGATGTTTCAGGAACCAGGAGCGAGTATAGTAGGCGTATGATTCGCGACCGACTCGCCCCACTGACCAGTTCGCCTTCTACGCTCCCAAGACCACCAAAATTGTAGATTCGGACGATTAGACAGATTGCTCATCCGTTATTCCTTGGCTCATGACCGCGAAGTTAAACCATCTTATTGCTCCTGCGAGATTTAACTATAAAGAGTCTACGGGATCATCACTGGCGTCCTGCCCTGCATATGCGCTTCGTTGGAAACAACCACCTCACCTGATTTTGGAGGTCAAAATAAACATAAACCATGATTTTGCAGTCGATGTATTTTGTCTGTCAATCGCTCTCAGTGAATGCAGGCAATAGCACAAACCAGTATGGAATATACGCAGAGACATGCGTAACCCAACCGAGGTGTGCCAGCCCTTCACAGTAGTTGCGTAATTGCCAGCATCAGCGGAAAGCGACAGAAACCATAGCTACGTAGGTGCATAGTTTAGAGGAATATTTATTTCGAATATCTACTTGACGCACGCGGTCCATTACACACGTACGTGTGTTACAGTCTATTTGTCACAGTGAGTCTTTCCGTTAGACCAGTTTTGTCTATATGGTATCTTCTAAACCCTATGTGAATGCAAGAATGTAAGAATAGACAAGTCGCGATACTTTTATTTAGTCCGTTACCTCTCCTTATCCATTCAATGGTACAAAGTCTTAAATTTTATTTCGGAAGGAATATGTGGGCTCAGGTAAAATCTCACTTCATACACCGATTAGCCACTCATTAGGTTCTGTTAGTGTAAAAACGTCCTTAATTAGACGCACTGGTCCTACACACCTAACCAAAAGAGGTAAAGGCGATGTGCGAACGTGCGTTACGTCGCACTCTAAACCAGCGAACTATGCAATAGGTAAAAGTGCGAGTGTACCGTGTCCTTACACGCTCACGTGAACACCAGCAACTAGGTGGCTTTCATCCCAGCGGAGGATGGTCCACCCTAATGAGGCCTGAGGCCGATCACTTTTCGAGAGTAGTAGTTATCGGACTGAACTGATATATTGACGTCTGACAGTCGTACAAAAAGAGCAGAATTGTGTCCGACAACTCCATAAACCACACTGCTGTGTCCTACGAACGAGCATATTAAGTTGAAAGTTGGTGACGAGAAGGTAAATGCCAAAGAAATTTGTTGTGAGAGATGCACAATCCTATGTGGTGTGACAAAAGGTCGTTTGACCTGTCGCACGGTTTAAAAGTGTAACGTAAGATCAAAATAAGCACATTCATTATTTTCGGACAATGCGGGACACCCTTGCATAAGCATGATCATAGTAAAGGTACAACTAAAAGTTGGGGAAGGCATAAAATGTTGTGCAGCTTTGCCATTAACATTGGAGCTGTGGGTTTACATATGCATGTGAGAGTGCAAGTGTGTAACTGTTATCAATGTGCGAATAGGTGCCGCTGCAATTGTGATTGATCACTTGGATAATGTGAGAGGGGATGAGTGACATCCGTGGTGGGGTTGTAGTTGCCTGGGTAACCATGGGGCCGTGACTTT